GGGGGGTATCTCCCACATTTAACCATTACTTTTCGGACAGCCTTGGTTTTAACAATATATGCGATGTGACTTCCAGTCTATTGTTCAGGATTATCCCTAGATACTTCGCCTCTGGCGATAGCTCAATTTACGAAATTCCCGATGAGGGTTAGGTTAAATTGACTTATCTTCTTTCTTTTGGTAAAGGGACGATGGTTTAGTGGGTTTATTAACATTAACTTTTTAGAGCACTATTTTTCAGTCAGTTTTAAGCCTTCATCGCAGCCCACCATGTAAATGAGTATTAGGAATATCTTCTTTGAATGTCTGGCGGACCTAAGTGCAATGGGCACCTATGAAACCTCATCATTTATCAACATAACCAATTGGTTCTATCTCTAGGTCAGCAGGCAGGAACGATCGATCCTGACCTTGATCGTAATGTTATTTGGAATAAGCCTGATTTTATTTTTCCTAACATGTTTTTAGAAAGTTCGACTGCTTCTAGAACCGAATACATAAACATACTTTCTCACATACTATCCATTGTTGAAATAATAGGTTATTTTTTTCCTTAATCATAATTGTATGTAACTATTTTGTATTGTGTATAATTTACAATTGCAGACAATGCGCACAATGGAACTGATTTTACGACAAAAATTGCATTCTGATCGTTCCAAGTATTTACCTCCGATAAAACGCGGTGGATATATTGACATATACATGACTAGTTCAGGTCAGCTTAAGATAAAACATAAAAGCACCTAATCAGAAAGTATTATTCTACCGTAGATTTACCGTTTATTTCATCGAAATCAGATTTGATAAACGAATAAGTAATCAAATAATGAAGAATTTGTGACTGTATTTGAATTAAATTTTGCATTTTTTGCACGACCACACTCTTGAACATCCTGTTTATACATACATGCTTTTAAATACATATTTGTTCTCCAAGTTTTGGTTTATAAACGCCCCGCTCTATAAGCTTCTTTCATACTATTGTTTTTTGTTTTATTTTGATAATTAATTAATTATGCAGAAAGAAGTTTTGTTGTGTTAAGTTTTTTTACAATTCCGCTTTGTAGACACTAAAAGCTGGTGTTACAGCTCAACCTTTTGCATGCCTTGTACCAATCCCTTTAAATGCATATTTACATATATTATATATTGGAATCCATTTCGTAAAGCATATGAGGAAATTTTAAAGTTCCATGGCTTTGTTAATCTCAAAAGCAAAAAAAAAAAAAAAAAAAAAATTAAATACCACAACTACTTACTACCATTTACATAGTACATACATATATCTCAATATGTATAAGAAAAATTATTGAACATGTTATTCAGAGCAGATTGTTCTGCATTTATTATAATAATGTGTATACATCTCTAGCAGACATTTAGTAGGTTAGGTTAGGTTAGGTTGGGTTGGAGTGGCAGCCCCGAGCAGAGCGCGGAGCACACGTGGGCTGGAAAAGCCCGTTGTGATACCATTGGCCGAAGCCATTTGTTTCTTTCCCTTCCTTAGTAATTGAACCACCGAGTGCGTTTTATATAGCACAAAAAGTCGAGGACGTTCGCCGAGTTCAAATCGGCTAAACAATCTAGAAAGTACTTGTTGAAGAATCGGTTGCGCGTGTTGGCCAGGGCGGGACAATGGCAGAGATAGTGTTCAACGGTCTCCACCTCTTCCTCGTCTCTGCAACTGCGACAAAAATCGTTGGTGGGGTATCCTAGCCTTTTTCCGTTTGTGCCCATCAAGCAGTGTCCGGTGATAACCCCGACTACTAATCTGAGAAAGGAGCGGTCCAGCCGGGTAATAGCTATGGTTCGCTTTACATCAATCTTTGGCCAAATTTGCCTGGTAGTATGGCAGGTGGTTTCCACAGCCCACCTGAAATTTACCTCCTCGACGAGTTCCGCCTTTAGTCTGTGTTTGCAGGAGGTTAGAGGTATGCCCGCATTCTGAGCAGAATTGACTTCAGATATTTCCGTCCCTCTCTTTGCCAGCTCGTCGGCTAGGCAGTTTCCAGGAATGTCCCTATGTCCAGGGACCCATACAACAGTCAAGGAGCATTTTGATGCCAGCAGGTTGAGAATCTTCCTGCATTCTATGGCTACTTTGGACGGTGTTACGTTAGAATTGAGAGATTTGATAGCAGCCTGGCTGTCAGAATAGATAGCAATATGCCATCATGGAGGGGCGGAGGTTATAACCCACCATGCCCGCCTCCATTATGGCGTTTAATTCTGCTTGAAAAACACTACAATGGCCCGGTAAGCGAAAGCTGAGGTTTAGCGCGAGTTCGTCAGAGTAGATCCTGCTACCCACTCTTTTGTTAAGCTTGGAACCATCTGTATATATGGTCGTAGACCCTGGGTTCAGGTCTGTGGCCCCTACCCTACCCACTTTGTTGTCTAAGCAGAGTAGAGGAGTTGTATCATCTATCTGTCGTAGATTATCCGGTAGAGTTTTAAGTACTTTTGCGTGTCCGAACCTGAGGTCTCTCCACGGCTGGATTGTATTTAACCTGACCGCACTGCAGCCGACAAGAAATTTTCCGTAGAGATCCACAGGTGGAAGATTTAACATTATTTCCAGAGATTTGGTAGGTGTAGTGGGCAGTGATCCCGTGACTAGCATGGCAGCCGTCCTCTGCACCCGTTCCACCTTGGCTCTGGACAAAGTGTTGTTTAGCGCAGGCCACCATACGGTGACCCCGTAGAAAAGGATGGGTCTTATCACAGCTGTGTACATCCAGTGTACTATGTGTAGTTTTATTCCCCATTTTTTGCCTATTGCCGTCTTACTGGCATAAAGGGCGGTATTGGCCCTTTGAGCGGTCTTCAATGTTTCGCTTCCAGTCAAGTTTTTTGTCTAGAATAATTCCAAAGTATTTGACCTCGGTTGAGAGAGTAAGTGCCACTCCGTTTAGGGTGGGAGGTTTAAATAATGGAGTTTTATACTTCCTTGTGAAATGTACCATTTCCGTTTTGGTAGGATTGACGCTAAGTCCACATTCCTTCCGTACGCTATGACTTGACAACCGGTGTCCTTTAGGCTCAGAAGTAGGGTGTTCACTGTTAGATTCCAGAGCAGAGGGGAGAGAACGTTCCCTTGGGGGGTGCCTCTGGTCACATACTTTGTGATAGAACCATCCCCCAGTTCTTATAGAATAGTTCCCTTCTCAAGAAGGAGCCCAACAAAATCTACCAGACCCTGCTGCACCCCCGCCATGAGAAGGGAGTTAACAACAGACTTCGGGTAGACATTGTTGAAAGTGAAATCCTTCCTGAAGCCATCCGGCATCACGGATGACTGGTGCAGGGCCGGGGTACTTCTGGAGTATCCCTTTATATACCCTGCATAAACTCATCGGGACGGACTTCCAGTTGTCCGTGGTAATATGGCCGTCCGGATGCCTTTTGTCCAACACCGCCAGCGTGAGGTGCTCTTTGGCGGCTTCACTGAACGGCTTCGTGTTGGATACGGCCATCGACGGACGGTTAGATGGGGAGGAATCCCTATACCTCTTAGACTCACTCGAGGTGTCGTCTTGAGATCGCTGTCTCTTGGAGGTAAGGTCCTTCCTTGGGTTTTCCCGAGTGGGTGGTTTGTCCTTCCTGCCTTTCCCGGAGGATCGCTTGTCGCTGGCGGCGAAGACTCCCATGGCCCACTTAAGAGAGGCTTTTTGCTTCTCTGTCAGTTGGTCAAGCGGGATGACCCCCAGCCTTTTGATGACCTTAGGGCTGCCCTTCGGTCACGCTGGGCCCTGACGGAGGGCGAAACTTTCGTTGCTGCTTTGGAGCTGCCGGGCGCAGATCGAGGTGATTTGCCCCGGTCTTCGAGGACTTACCCGCGGGAGTGGTCCTCTGCTTGTCCGTGGAGGACTTTTGCTCGACCACTACACCTTGAGGTTTTAGTGTGCCCTGGATGGGCATGGAGGAGGGGGCTTTCCGCAGCATTTCCGCCGGCTTCGACTTTCCCTCATAGTACCACCGGCATCGCTGAAGGTTCGCTTTCCCTCTGGGGGTTTAGCAATCCTTCCAGCTTCTGCGGAAGCCCGAATCTGCTTGGGCCATTCAGGCCCTCTCGGTTCCGTCGATGCGGTTTCCGAGGTGGTTGGTGTTTTGGACTTTTAATTTAGTAACATTCAGAAAAATATACATACATAAGTTTTCTTGGTATTACGTCGATTATGTAGGATTTTAAAGTCTGGAAGTATTCACTAGAAACAGGTTTTTCGACATTGCTGTATGTCCTTCTTTAAAACTAAAATTATACCATACTACATACATATGATTATTTCTAACGGAGGTGGGAAATAGAGTATCATAGACAACTCAGCTCAATTTGAACAGAAACAGTTTGCAAAAATTACGTCAACAAAATGTTTGCTGTAGCGTATTGAGAGCTGAGCCGTATAGGATTTTTTCCGTATAACCAGAAATTGATCTTCAAGTTATTCAATTAGCTCAAGATCTCTTAGACCATTTAGATTTAAAATGTCAAGGAACGCAATAGTTAAGTGCATTAGAAATGTAGGTTAAACAAATTAAGAACAGCATATCCTTTCAGTTCGAAAACGGGTCCAAATTAGAAATTTGCATCTATAGGAAAACTTACAGTAAAAACAAAAACAAAAAAAAATTATACGAACATTTAAAAAATAATTTTTCGTTATAACTAATCACCGTATTTTTCTGTAACTTATGTTGGCGGCCGCGGAACCCAAAGCTGCCTTTATATGAGGCGACTTGTTGGCTGGCGATAATCGCCTGCAAAAGTTGACTTGCTGTCTACGTTGAGGCAAGCGATTTTTGAATCACCATTTACACGAGTGGTTTTTCTTGAGAATTGTTGAATCGCCTTATGTAAATCCAGCTTTAGGAAGAAGGATTCCACTCCATCTTCGGACGTTCCCAACTTGGAACGCGTATCGAAGATGACTGATGATTTTTGCTAAATTCTGCGAATCTGTTAACGGTACAAAAAAATGATGTATGAATGATTGTTAGAATAATAAGCAGCCATAACCATTGCGTTAATTTACCCTTCCTAACGATGCTTAGTAGCTGCCAAAAACAGTTTGAAGTTGTTCGGACGTTCCCGTTCAGACGTTCCGATTTTTTCCAATGAATAAAATTTTTTGTTTGAGAATTTAAACACACTCGTTTTTTTTTAATACAATATGTGGTTCTATTGTAAATAAATCTACATCTATATGAAGGCCTTATTCAAGACAGTGATTGGGAACCATAATTTAGCAAAAAAATTTGCTATATTTCCGACAATCGATCATGATTCGGTGAGCAAATACTGTATATATTTTTTCTGTGCCACAGTGAAGCGGACACAAATAATAAATAAATAAATTTATGTACATATACTGGCGGTCAAAAGTGGATGAATGGTGTTTTGGTTTTACTATTTAAAATGTTTTTCAAGCTAAAATTTCTTTGTTACTTTTTTATAAAAATATCTTGCATGCTTTAACACCATGCCATTCAAACTTTCAAACTTTATACAGAATTTAGAAAATTTACACAAATTTTGATCTAAATTTTAAGCTTTTTAATCAGAATTTTAAAAAAATTTAAATTGATTTTTAATATTTTTTTTTTTTGCCGACGGCAAAATACAGCGTGGCGACGAATAATTGTTACCCCGTTGCGAAAAAAGTTTTTTTTTGTTAATTTGCCACAGATTTTACTTTATTTGCATTAATTGGTCTT